GAAGGTGAGCTCAGGGTCTTTCTACTCCGCCATCTTAGCCGATCTCCCCAAAACTATTATCTGTCTCTAAAAGTTAAATTCAATTTTAGTCACTCCGTAGAAAGAAGCCACGTTGTAGTGAGTTAAGTAAATAGACAATGAAGAAATAGAGTCAGCCGGTACAGATTACTCTAAGAAGCTTGGCTGTGAAAAAAAGAACAGATGAGCTAACGCTTGAAGGGGAGCTAAGTTTGAAGGAATATATATATATATATATATATATATATATATATATATTTAGGATGAGAAGATCTGAACATATTCTTAAGATGAAGAGAAGGAAACAATAGAGAGGGAGAGGATAAAAATGCAAGAGAGAGCCCTTAGCCCTCCCATGTTGTGGGAGAGGCTAGTGGGGGTAGGATCAAGATAATGGGCAGAACATAAACTCTAATAGCAAACACCTCAACTAACAAATTAGGGTAAAAAATTTGATGCTGACATAAAAATATTCTAATTTGAACAGTCAAAAAGGAAAGGACCATAAAAATCTTGATATATCAGATCAGTTGGGACAGTTTCAAAGAATAGCAGGTCCCTCTATGACTGGAATAAACAGTTTTTGTCTTGGGTTGACAATGAGCATTAATAAGGGTGAGGAGATGGGTTTTGGGGGAGACATGGTAAGTTCAGTTTTATACAGAGTGAATCTGTAGTGGACATTCAGATGGAGATGCTCAGGAGGAACTGGGTTATTATTTAGCTTGTCTGCCTGTGGTGAGTATGTGGCATTGTACCCATAGGCAAACAAGTTAAATATTTGTCTCAACAAGTTTTAAAAACTGAAACACAGATTTTTGGCAACTATCTGCATTCAATTTCATTTTGATAGGTACAAGCTCCTTTACAGAAAGACTGTACAGACTTTACAGAAAGGCTTTTTCCACAGCCATATTCCCAGCACTTATGCCAATGTCAGGTGTACAGTAGGTATGTAATCAGAATTTATTGAATGACTACTGATTGAATCTTTTCTGTCATTTAAGCCAAAACCTACGTATCCTTATCTCCTCCCTCTTACTTCTCCCACAGATCCTATCAGTCACCAATCCTACTGATTTTCCCTCCAAAATATATCCTGATCCACTTCCTTCTCTCTTTTTTTAACTAGTGATGTTCTAGTTGAGGGTCTCATTATCTTCTGCCTGTACTAGCACAATAGATTCATATCTGATTTCTCTGTCTCCAGTCTTGCTTCCTTTACATCTAGCCTCTGCATAGCAAAGTGCTTTTCTCTAAAATGTCCATTTGGGAAAATAAAAAAAATCATTCCCCACTTAAAAGCCTTCTGTGCCTGCCCAGAGTTCAAGTTCCCAACTTGACATACAAGACCTACTCACCATTGTCTCATCTTTTATCTTTGTCTTGCACTTTATTTTTATTATTTTTACAAAGTTCTTTTTTTTTTAAGTCTTTATTGAATTTGTTGCAATATTGCTTCTGTTTTTTTTTTTTAATGTTTTGGTTTTTTGGCCCAGGGCATGTGGGATCTTAACTCTCTGACCAGGGACTGAACCTGCACCCCCTGCATTGGAAGGCGAAGTCTTAACCACTGGACCGCCAGGGAAGTCCCCTCCCACTTTATTTTGCATGAACAAACTGCACTCATGTCGCCCCATATACTACATTATATCATGCTATTTCCTCTGAATGGAATACTATTTCCATGTTTCTTCATTTGTCTGACTGTGACTCATTCTTTTAATTCGATTTGGATGTCAACTGCTGTAGTTCCCTCCTCCCCCTGCTCCTTCTTCTTTTTAAAAAATATTCATTCACAGTTATTTATTCTATGGCTGGTATATACCAGGCACTTTATTTTATTTTATTTTGCTTTTTATAAATTTATTTATTTCATTTATTTTATTTTTGGCTACACTGGGTCTTCGTTGCTGCACGAGGACTTTCTCTAGTCGTGGTGAGCGGGGGCTACTCTTCTTTGTGGTGCATGGGCTTCTCATTGTGGTGGCTTCTTTTGTTGTAGAGCATGGGCTCTAGGCACGTGGGCTTCAGTAGTTGTGGCACGCGGGCCCAGTAGTTGTGGCTCGCAGGCTCTAGAGCGCAGGCTCAGTAGTTGTGGCGCACGGGCTTAGCTGCTCCGCAGCATGTGGGATCTTCCCAGGCCAGGGCTTGAACCCGTGTCCCCTGCATTGGCAGGTGTATTATTAAACACTGCGCCACCAGGGAAGCCCCTCAGGCACTTTACTAGGTGTTAGGGCTACGGAGGTAGATGAGGCAGACAAGTCTTTTGCCTAAAAACATTCTTGAAGGTTATAGAACCCTTCCCCCATACATGTGCTCCCCTAGTATCTTATGCTTATCTCACTTTTCTCATTAGTTATATAATACGAAATTTTCAGTTTATATTCATTTGACTAGCACATAGTAAGTATTCAATAGACATCTCTGTAACTGAAAATATAAATCAATAGTTTTAACATCAACTATATTTTAAATTCCTTTTTTTGTTATTCTTGGAATACCCCTCCTGCTCCTCCACTATCAACTGAGGATTGGACGACTCCTAAGGAACCTGGGTCCAGGGGGCCCCTATACTGTTCCACCCAAGCATCCGTGATGCGGAGAGATAGGTACCTAGCTACGTACCCAGAAATATGGGAAGGTCATTGAAAGGGGGCTTAGGAGCAAGGGGAGGATGGGAAGAAAAGAGAAAATATTAAATTGTCATAAGGAAAATGTATTTGCAGGGCTAGAAGGAAGATGTAAGAAACAAAATTCCCCCAGTTAAAGAACACATAACTACAATGCATAAAATTCAAAACCTGAATTTAACTGCTGGTCTCAAGTATCTTCTTCTTAACTCAAGGCTGAAGATAGTCAATGGCAAAATGGTAATTATCTTGAAATACACGAAGTCATATAAGAGAAGGGTTAAAACCAGAAGAAAGAAGCAGAACCACTGGGTGGAAGCTACAAGGTCACAGCTTCCAATTTAATATAAGGTTGATATCAACAGACAGAGATGCTCAACAATGGAACTGGTTGCCTCATGAGGACAGAACCCTGCCATTGGAGATAAAACACAGATACATTTTGAGTGAGCTTCTTTAGCACACAGACTGTGATCCTAATGTTTGGCATGTAGAAGACATTAGAAAAATGTTTAAATGAATGAGGGAGGAATGGATGGGAGAGTGTAAATCAAATTAAAAAATCCCTTCCAGTTTTATAATTCTATGACAACATAAAAACCAAGTCACAGCTTCTTTCCCATTTCTCACCAGTCCCCTGGAGGAAGTGGTATTTACAGTTAGCCAGGGAAGGAAAAATAATGGACTCATCCCAGATAATCAGATTTAAAGATATTCCCAAGGGTGGCTGTTTTAGTTTTGCAAAGCTCCCTAACCCTATTCTACCTTCTTCCATAATTAATCTAAAGTGTATGCCAGCCTCAAAAACGCTAGTCCTCAATATATGGCATTGACTTCTTTCCACTGAAGGGATTGCCCATATAACACATATAATGGTGAGGGTGAAAAAAGGAAATAAAATGAAGTGAAACAGTTAACTGTCATCTCTCAGAGCATAGAATAAGTAAGAATTTTGGGTGGAGCTAGTTGGCTCCCTTTTAATGTTAGTAGATTTATCCATTAAAGAGTTGACGCATAACGTACTTTAGTCATTAAAAATATACTCAAGCACTAGAAGGAAATATTTCAATAAATTATTTCTGGCAACTTCTGCCAAGCAATGAAACCCTATCATTTTTCCTTTCATAAGGAATTAGTGAGATAAAGTGCTGGAAAATACAGTGTCGGCTCTTTAAAGGAAATTATCATTTTTAGAGTCTCGAAGGAAACAGTACAGTAGTATTTGTAGTAGGGAGAAAACCTCCCTTCTTTGTGGATTTCCAAAAACCGAGTAGCAAATTATCATTTTCACAGGATGATCATAGACTAGAACTTCACTTATGCAGTCCCTTTTCTCTTTCACATATTTAAGCGATATAAGTACATATTCAGAGGATGGCTGCAGAAGTCCTGTGGCAGCTTCCATAATGAATGTCTAAAATATATAAGTTTAAATAAATATTTTGCAACCATATTTTGCATAGAATGTAAGTGGGAAAAGGTTTTACTGGACAAGCTCAAGCTTTTGAATACTTGGATCAGGTACTAGCCTAAAAAACACTGGTATAAATAAAGTTTTTTGTACTATTTATTTATGACCTCTGTTGCATGCACTTTTTAAGTCATGATGATGATTTTTCCTAGTACAGAGTAGCAGCTTAATAAATACTTTTAAAACATTTAAACTGTAATGTCCAGGCTCTCTTTCCCATTCCCTTATAACCAAAGTCATGGTTGGACACAGTGCTATTGTAGCCAAGGAAAAGATACTGTCTTTTAATATAGTTCAGACCCACAAAGACACATGCAGGCATATCACATACAGAAACATGTTCAATCTCCTTGCCCCTCTGTTTCTACAGCACCCTGTATGCACTGCCATCGCTGCATTTATTACACTATGTCATTATTATTGGTTTACTAATTTATCACCTTTGACTGAGCACCTTGATATAGGTACATTGTTATTCATCTTTGTCCCCTAGTATTGAGGACAATGCCTGGCTCATAGAAGGTGCTCCAACTCAATGAGTTAAAGGAACTTCAGGATGAATCCTAATAAATGTACTCAACTATATGGTCAGCAGCAAAGAAAATTCCTTTGTTAACCTGACAGTTTTAAGTAAAAATTATTTCAACCAATCCACCCAAATTCTGTCTGTTTGAAACATGAAACTTACAGAACAAGAAGGAGCACATTAGCAATAATCTCGCATGGAAAGTTTCTGCCTTTAAGAATTTACTGAGACTTTATTCACGCTACATTAACTTTATCTATTCACTGCTGTGGCAGATAAAAAAGAATAGGAAGTGGGCATGTGAGTGGAGGATAGGCCTTCTGTTCAATGAAAAGCAAGCAAACAGGCTTACCTCTTCGGATTGCTCCCGGGTCTGTGCAGGTGAAGATCTTCTTCCCACTGTAAGTCGATGGCACGGATATGAAAGCCCTGATTCAGCAAGACACATCTGCAAAAAGTAGAATCCATCATTTGTAAACAAAATGAAGTCATATTTCACCAAAAATTTTACTTTTCAGGTATTTTCTATTATTTCTGAAGCAAGATTAGAAAGTTCACTCTAGTAGCCTAGGCATTACATTCAAAGGAAGGCTTTGAAAATTTGAAAATTTTTACATATACGGATGTTACAACAGCAAGGCTATTTTTCATTAGACAATAGACTGGAGCTCCAGGAAACTGTAACAAGCCTAAAGTAAAGCTAATCATATACACCTCCCCACCCCAGCATGTCTGTTACTTTTCTGATTAGTAGAATAACACCTCTATTTCCCAATTCCCAGGGCAGTACTTTATAAATCTATTTTGAAGGGTACTTGGAAGAGTGTTTGTCGAAGGCATTTAAAAAAAACAAACACATTTCTATACATGGTAACAATGTCATTTATGCTCTAATCAATATTAATCCACAATTTCAGATCATTATAGCCGATGAGTCTATAATATATGTAAAGCTCCTAGCACAGTCCCTGGCACACAGACATTCAGTTTTATTACCATTATGATCTAAAACGCTAACCAAATTTAGCCAAAACAATGAAAGTAATATATATTTATTTCTATTGAATTTTATTTTGGGTCTGATATTAAATAACTATTTTGAGATTTAAATTAAATTTAGGAAAGTATGAATGCATGTCACTTTTGTCTGCATAAAAGAAATTAAAACAATATTAAATAGCCAAAGGACGGTATTTTTCTTTGGTGTTAGTAAAATGACACACATTTAATGTACTGATGATATACAGTGAAGTTCCTTTTATTCTTATTAGAAATAAAATAGGGTATCCACTAGCACACTGAAAGCATTCATTGTAACTTTGGGGGAGGTGTGAATTAAACTGGTATATGAGGAAACCCAAATATCTGTAAATTCATAGGGACCAGACACAATAATGGGTCAGTCCTAACTACAATTCAAACGTGTTATAATTAGGCTAATTATCTGAAGACAAATACTGGAATGGAAAATGCAAATGTCACCTAAATATCCAGGTATTTTCAATCGTGTATGGTATGTGCTGTCATATAGATTATACAGATAAAAATCATGTGTTTTTTTATTGTTATCTTTCCTTTAGTCTCATCAGAGGTTTTTGTTTGTTTGCTTTTGCACCTAGATATTTTGGCATTGTACTTTACAAATGCTAGAAGGCCTGATTAATAAAATAAATAAATAAAAGCAAAACTGCAATGACTGTCATTTCTACTCAATTATATCCATCAAAATAATTGTCACAATTAGCTCAATTTATTTCATTTCAGTACAAATAAAAGCAAAGCTAAGCTGGATAAGAAGCACAGGCAAAATTTCAAGACACGCTGCCTTCATTTTTTCATTTGAAAAAAGTTCTCCTCGCTCACTCTGAAATCCTCTGGTAATGAAATAGTAATGATGGTAAATGTCACTGACAATCAGAAGCAGTGTAGTGTAATGGAAAGAGAACTGGAAGAGCCAGAAAAATCTCAATTTAAGTACCACCTAGCTTCCTGATCTTGGAAAAGTCATTTCTCTGTTCTAAGCTAGAGTTCCCTCTTCTATTAATTGAGGTGAGTAATTCCTGCCCTAACTACCTCAATGGACTTTTGAAAGGGTTAAAAAGAATAAAATAAGAAAAGATGGCTTTGAAACTATACTGAAATAGGCAGAAGAGCTGTTATCACTCCAATGGTCATTATTTTTAGGACCTGGCGAAGAGGAATGGTGATTAACTTCCACTGTCACTACCTTTGCATACAGAGCAATCGTAAATTAAAAGAGGACATATTTTAGGAGGAGCTGGAGGAAGGCGCTCACTAAAAGTACATGGTACTACAAATGGGCTGGCTCTTTAATGGGCTTGTCTCCACAGTTATCAATATTAACCTTCCCCATAGCTACTAAAATTCCTGAAGATAGGAGGACAGTGGCCAGCACTTTCTCCTTAGTCTATAGCTGAACAAGTAGGCCTCACTCTACACTGAGGAAATTAAAGGGTCAAGAATTTCTATGTGCCTGGCATTGATTAAATATAAGGCATAGTGTCTGTTTTAAGGGAACAGTCGGGGAGACAAGAGATACACATAGGAACAGAGACAGAAAAAGGAATACAAATGAGTCAAGCTGGGATTATATCACAGTCTCAGTAGAGCTGGGGACCCCTTGGAAGGGACAATAGTTACTTAGAGAGTGATTTCAAGAAGTTAGGGCTACAGTAAAGGTTTGCTGGGACTCATGACCAAAGCTGTAACAGATGTGAAGTCAGAAGGCGGAGGTTCCCGGCTGGCTAAAGCACTCAACGACAATGGGTAAAATCACTTAGAATTTCTGTACTCCAGTTTTCTTACTTAGAAAATGGTGTATTACAATTGTTCTATTTCTCTCACAGAGTTGGTATGAAGATCCAATAAGATAATGTATGTGAAATCAAATGGTTATGTAATTGTAAATAACCAATATTATTATCATTGGAGTATTTATTTTGCAAGAAATTAGAAAAAGAAATTTCTAGGTTTGTTTGACTAGAAATTTGCAGGTTTGTTTGACTTTATAGTTGAAAATTTACATTTAGATTTACATACATCATATTAGTTAATTAACCTCTATATAATGGTAATCTTTCAATCACAAGATTGCTTTAAACTACTTTTTCACTAACCTCTCCCAATCCTTAAGTATCCAGAAGATTATACCCCTAGGTGCGTGGCAAGTATGTAGAATTAAACAGTAAAATAAAGGAATCTTGACTTTATCTTATATTGAATTTTTGAACCCATTTTGAATCTCTGCATCTGCCATGATGGGAAGTCAAAGAATTAAGTCTAATATAGCCAGAAAAAAACTAAATAAAGAGTTGAAAATAGATTTTGAAATGAGTCACAGTCCTTCACTGTACTAGGTTAAAGCAGTTTTTCCCCAGAAAGTAACACTGTGAGTAATATTCTTTCATTAACTACTTGAACTTGCATACTTAAACACATTGGTGGGGTGGAAAAGTTTGTAAACTGGTAATCTCTAGGAACAGAAATACTCAATAAAGGCTTTCTATATAAAGAACAATGATCCCTATTTGAGCGAATACCATAAATTTAAGCTTGAAATTATACTGGAAATAAACACAGATCTTGGCTATGTAATGAATAAGAATACAGATAATATTTGTAACTGAAAAGTGGAGAGGACAAAAAAACCTGTAAGTCTAGCTTAACACTGTAGAAGGTTCTATGAGGGCAAGAACGGGGCCTGTCTAGTTCTCTCCTAAGCTTATCATTAAGAAAATTGTTAACAATCCCTACAGTTGAGTGAAAAAAGAAAAATATCTCTGAGATTAAAATAAATGGCTCTAATGTACATGAAAATCGGATATGAGTATTATAAAACCTAAAAAATATAAATTGTAGGAGAGACACAGAATCAAAGAAATTCCATAAGACACTTATATACCTAAAATACCAAAATATAAGATTAGGTCTTAGCTAAAATTCTTTCTCCGAAAACGCTGCCTTATATTTGTGTTTACAAAGGTTCTCATATTACAGAGTGCCCCCTCAAATACTTTAATTTTAACTACAATAGACTGTTTGGGAAAAACAAATTAGCCTGAAATAACCCTTCCCCTCTCCTGTCAATGATGCTTCAGGGGCTTACAGAGCTCATCTGTCAGAACTGGTTAATAAAGGAGACAAGGATATTTAACACCAATTTCATGATTATTCTTAGAGGTATAATCTCACAACTGCAAGTGTTGGAAGTCCTTATAAATAAGCCTTTAAAAGATATTTTGGAAAATGTCTTGGGAAGATGATGAATATACACCTATAAGACAGATGAAACTAAACAAATAAAAAACAAAAAAACCATCGCTGCCCTAATGATACATAATAGAGATAGTATTAGACCAGCACTTTCTCACAGGGTTGGGATAAGCCTGAGCTAATATGTGTAAAGCATTAAGAACAATGCCTAGCCCACAGTAGATGCTCAACAAATGCTTTTTGTTATTCTGTGAATGAGTACTTGTGGCTTGGGATAAAATGACCAGTGAGAACATAACACTGATTCAAAATAATGCTAAATTAATGAACTAATTTGACAAGAATATATTCTACTACATTAACACAAAAAGCTTATATATTTTAAACTGTTCAACAAACTCCTCTTTACAAAAATAAGCGATTTTACAGTATTTACATTTTAAAAATAAGACCACATTTTTAAGCATGATAGCCACTGTAGGCAAGAATTCAAGCTGATTCTTCTTGTCAGCTGATGACTGAAAGTGTAACAGGGAAGAACAAATGTGACCCCATATTGGATCTGTTTCTTTTACTTTAACCTCTGTATTCTAACTGCTTTTTCTACAAGTTAGGAATGTTGCCTATAGCCTGAAAATATACATGATAGCCCATTCTCAAGGCTCTGACCTTCAAAGGTGTAAAACTTTTCCATTCATATACAGATAAAAAGCTGTAGAACAGAGAATAACATTTGTCTTGTTGGAGGTTTACAGGAACACTGTGGCTGGACCTATCTATGTGGACAGCTGCAAGAACAAAGGATTCCGGCACTAAGAAGTTTGCAACAACCAACAACACCCTTCCCCTTTTAGTATAAAAGAAGCCTGAATTCTAACTCAGGTAAGATGGTTCTTTGGGACACTAGTACACCATCTTCTCGGTCTGCTGGCTTTCCAAATAAAGTCACTATTCCTTACCTCAACAACTCGATTTATTGGCCTGTCATGTGGTGAGCAGTATGAGCTTGGACTCAGTACCATAAGGATGTCAAATTTGTTTTTAAATTAGACTTGAAGAGGGCTTCCCTGGTGGTGCAGTGGTTAAGAATCCGCCTGCCAATTCAGGGGACATGGGTTCGAGCCCTGGCCCGGGAAGATCCCACATGCCGCGGAGCAACTAAGCCTGTGCACCACAACTACTGAGCCTGAGCTCTAGAGCCCGCAGCCACAACTA